ATCTGTCTTTCAAGTATATATTTTTGTTCTTGATAATTCGTCTAGAATGTGGGTTTCAATATTAACTTTACTAAAATCTACATACATTCATTGCTGTAATCCTTCATTGTCATAAATCTTGAGAACTTACACTAGATTTTCATTAATAATTGCATCAGAATCAAATTGAATCATAGATCAGACCACACAAAAAGTGCAAAAAACGACCAATGTAAGTCAAAATTTTGGAGCTGTTCTAGCATTTAAAAAGTGCAATGAATACAGACTTGGAATACTTCTCTCTACTGTAAATTATCATAGAAAGACTAGTCAAGTCGTCTATTAACGAGTGGGCATTCACAATTATCAAATAATCTTCGACCACATATTATGGTGAAGAGTATAAGTCTTGCGGAGAATACGGCAAGCCGCACAGGACTTAAGCCTATGGCTGTTTTAATGAAAGTATTTCGAAAAACAAAAGTTTAATCGAAAATTCTATATGCATACAGATTTGATAGTCGTTAGACAGTACTGAAACTTTCAACTAAAAGAAACATGCCTTTCTTTAGATATTCAATTTCTAAAAAAAAACAAATTTATTATCGAATGAAGTAGTAATCGATTTCACATGAAAATTGAATATTTCGAGAGAGACAAGTTTGTTTTCGTTTAACTGATTAAACATGCCTTTTAATAAAAATATTAGCTTCGAACTCTTTGTTTTAGAAGATTTTTCATAATGTTATTCAAATTCATTTGATACTCCATCATTAATTAGAAAACCATTAACGGGTAGCGGAGAAATAATGAGGCAATATTCATTTCTATTTGTGAGATACTTTACAATTGTTTTAAAAACAGGTTTTTCCGATGTCAATAGATTTCCTTTTTTTTTTATGCATTTCGAAAAATAATGTTTCAATTGAACGATTTTATATTAATAGTAATATGTTATTTCTCATCAAATAATGTTAAAATTTATCAATTAAATTCAATAAATGATTGAATATTTAAAATGAATAATACAATTTCAATGATATTTATTCGTAAACCAATACTTACTTTTGGAAGTGGCTATGTACACTCGGGAGATATTATCAATTAATTAGGAAATATTAGGTTATATTATAGTCTTATATGCACTTCATAAATAATATAAATAAAATTTGTTAACTTACTAATAATTTTATTCTATTTATTCTTTATTAAATTTAAATAGAATATAACTCAAGTATTACAATAAAAAAAAACATGAAAGAAAAAATTAATTCAGATAAAGATCAACCAATTTAGAAACATTTTCTAGCATTTCCTCACTTATATTTTGAAGGAGATGGTTGGATTTTATTATTTTCAATATCTCTAACATAAATGATTACAGAAAGATATTTTTTTTTATAAAACAATAATGATGGATTCTGCTTTGGTACTCGTTCCTGATTTTAGTTCTTATTTTGGTAGGTCTTTTTTCTAGGGGTGTACAGCTCACGCTCATATGAGCGCTCATGAGCGTGAGCGTTTCTTGTGCATCGAATACGGAATCGCCCCTGATCACTTTTATCAACTTTATTCCTCGAAAAACAACATTTACGGTTTCTGTACCTGGGGTCCCCCTCAGGTATCATGAAAAAAACTTTTTTTTCCTCACGAGTCAAAATCATGTGTGCTTGTAGATTTAGGGGTGCTCATTATGAATATCATAATCAGAGCTCTCAAAACTCTTTCATTACTGAAATAGTCCTAACCACTCTATGCACCCTTTTTTCATTATTAGCGCCCTCGTAGAATAACTATTCACTAAAATTTAGCGGAAAGCATCTTTTCTAAACCAAAATTTCGAGTTCTCGACGAATTTGAACCTTTTATGCCGAAGAACAGTAGCCTTTCAAAAAGAAATGACCATTCTGGTGCAGAAATTAACCCATATTTTTTAATATAGATTTTGTCTCGATGACTGTTTTGTGAAGCCACTCTTGCTACAGCGTGAAATTTGTACCACAGAACTAGTTTTTCAAGTTCTACTTATTGATAGAGGCGAAGATATAGAAAGAAAGGTATAATGAAGTGAAAAACTCGAAATATACTCAGATTCGACCTATTTTTGTTGAATTTTGCTGAAGCAGTATAGTTTTCAGCATTAAACTAGTGTTGTTAGAACACCATATTCGCATTAAATGGCTAGTTTTTCATCCCCTCTCGATTGACAGTCTGAGATACAAAGATAGAAGGGTGGAGCTGGGTCAAATATGTGAATTTTGAGAGGCTCGGTTCAGCTTTCAGTATATTCATCTATGTTTTTGTGATTTTGAACGTGAGAATAAACATACCAGGCCTTCGAATTCGCATATTATCGATTTCATTGTGATGCTCTGTCATCAGGATGCCCTACCCACAGAAACAAGCTGTTAGCACAATCCCTGAGGGATTACAAATATGAAACACGATGTAGCTACTGTTGTCTTCATCCTCCTTTGACTTAATCCTCGAGAAATGTAATAAGAAAGTAATTCGTATATGACAACAAGGCCATTACTGGCATACGAGCTGTGATTGCGTATTAACAACTTATGTCACGATCTGTGAGTTTCTGACTAGTGTCTGTTACATGTATGACGGGTCGCTAGGGAGTTTGCAGGCTGTCTGTCATGTCTGTGAGGGGAAAGGGGAGGCCGGGATGTGTGGGTTCAAAATTTTTATTCAATACATTTCAATACTCCTTTCATGTTGTGTTTCACAAAAGCTATAGAAATGCTTGAGGAATATCAGGAGATAACATCATGTGGTCATATACGTGATGAAAACCAAGACCACCTCTATGTTAATGCCGCTTGATGAGCACATAAAAATATGCGTCAGATATGATCGGCATCGTTATTGTTTTGTTATGGTCTTTCACATATCTCATATATGACG